CCAATGCTTGATATCAAATACCGATCCTCCTCCAGAAAGGAACAGGTCCCCAAATCTGCCATCTCATCACGTCGCCTTAAAGTTTCCACACTAATGAAGTGTCTCCTATTATCGTGAGCTCGGCACAAACGTAAGAAAGAACCCCTACCATAATCTGAACGTTGGGTTACCTTTCTAACAATACACTTCCTCCATCTGTTACGAGCTTCTAGGACTTCACACCAACTGGACTTGGTTGTAACCCACCAATGCCTAGAGCAACCCCCAACTACGGAAACTACATATCTATTACCTCCCAATGATGCTCCTTTGGAAGGCCCCCAAATGCCTGAATGAACACCCCTCAGAAGACCCATCAAATGATGGATAGAAGTGATTAACTCCATCTCGGTCTTCTTTTTCATACCAATGGGTTCACAGGACTTCAAACTGCAGGTTAAAGCACTCCTCAACAATCTATGTACGGTATTACCAATCAAATAACTTAGCATCAAACAACGCCATAGTCTAGCCGAATCTGATAAAGTTGTCATCTTCCTATCAATCACCGTGCTTCCGAGCAAGTAATACAAATGTCACCCTATAGTCTGCTTTCTTCAATCGTGCATCCACCAATGTCACCCTATAGTCTGCTTTCTTCAAAGCTCCAAGTGAAATGATGTTCATCTTCAATTATGGAACGAACCTCACTTCATCCAACTCCCGAATCACCTCGTCACTCATTTTAATTCGAACGGTACCGATACCACTAATAGAGCATGCATTATATTACCCATGAGCACAACATCCTCTCTTTGCAACTTATAAAAGTTAGAGAACCAATCCCTCCTAGGGCAAACGTGGTAAGAAGCACATGAATCCAACATCCATTCTGTAGAGTTGGCAACACAAACTGACGGTAGTGCAGATAACGAATAGTTTAAGAATTCGAATCTGAATTATTGCTACTAGTCTTGACAACATTCACCTCTGAAGCTTGTACAGCTTTCCCCTTATTCTTCTCGACTCGATCTAACTTTGGGCATTCAGCTTTCCAATGTCCATCCTCTTTACAAAAAGCATATTGATTCCTACGAATTCCATGATGTGCCCATCTAGACTTCGACCTCCTGATTTGGTTTGAACCACAGCCATGAACTACTAATGCATCTCCCGATGTCTTCTCAGAGGGTTCATCGACACTCTTTCTTAACTCATAATTCACCAACGTTGAGGTCACCTCCTTGTAACTAACAGTAATTCTTTCATTAATCATAGTTAGGACAAAAGTACCATAATCATTCTCGAGCAACAAACATAAAAGTAGCATCGTCTTGTCTTCATCCTCAACCATGATATCCACATTGGCCATATCTGAAAGTAGCTTTGTGAAGTTATTAACATGCTCCCTAATAGAAACTCCCCTCTTCATCTTGAATTGGTAAAACCTCTTCTTTAAGTAAAGCCAATTTTTAATGCTCTTAGTAAGATACTTTTCATTGAGTATTTTCCACATCTTCTTCATCGACGTCTCGTTCATCACATCATAAATAAGATCTGACGCCAAACATGACCGAATAACTCCACACACCCTACTATTCATCTTCTTCCAAATCTTTCCTTTCATATCAGCAGGTTTCTCTTGCAACTCAAGAGTCTCTTCCACGTTTTGAGCATCCAACGCATCTATCACCTGGCACCTCCATAAACCGAAATTGACCTTGCCATCAAACTTCGGAACATCGATCTTCATGTTATTGATGCTCAAACTATGTATTGTATTCGTAAGAGACGATCCCGATGTGCTTGTTTCACCCATGTTGTAGATCTAACTCTTCAAATAAGAATCCAGTAGAGAATCCTTCAAACAAGCCTCAAGCCGTACCCGAAACTCTGATACCACTTGTTATGCGCAGCGAAAATTTCGGTAGCACCTCCGGTGCGTAAGGTGCACAACAAGAGATTAGATCACAACGGAAATCTTGTTTCACAAAGGAAACAAGAACCGAAAAAAAATAACTCAACAAAGTGAGATATCAGCTCTTCCTCTCATCAGTTCTAGGACTGACTTATCGAGGGAACCTACAAGCTATTACAAATCATGGTAAGAACATAATTTTAACGTGGTTCGGCAAATTGCCTACGTTCACGGGGTAAGGAGGGGGGAGATCTACTATTAGAGAGAGAGAATAAAAATTGGTTTACAATCACTCAATCTAAACCCTCAAATAATCTCTCAAATCCCTCACACAAAGGGGATGCCAAAAGCCCTCTCAAAACAGCACAAAACACTGCACTTTCTTTCGCCGCTGCTCTGCACTTTTTGCACCGCCGCCAAATCTCCCTTGCTGCGTTTTTCTCCAAAAAAAACAAGCCCTCTGCCTTCGCACAGAACTTCACGCAGCCGCTTTTTTTCTTTCTCCGCTCCCCTTACTTCGCACACAACCCTAGGCCTACAAATAAGTGTATTTATAAGCCATGGTTACGGGTGGGCCTCTTTGTCCGCTGGACTAAACCAAAAACACAACGTAGTCCCCACGTTCTATCTCTTCACACGGAAGAGCCAGAGCGAAATTATCTCTTCACGTGAAGATCTTCACGTGAAGGTGGACCCCACTCACACATATAACTCTTGTATTTGTAGTCAGAATACCCTGCTCGTGTCCATATCTGCAAATCTTAGTGGAGCACACAACAAACTGGCGACAACTTCCTCGACGACCACTAGCTTCCTGCTTCCTACTAATGCTCCTTGGCCGATGTTTTCATTTCTTCAGCTGGCTTCTATTTTGTTGTTAGTAATCTTCAAACAAAGTTGTTCTGCCTTATTGTGCGCTACAGTCTTAATTTTGTTGTGTTAGTTTTTTTGTTTTTAGTTTTGTTTTTTTTAGTTTGGGGAATTGCGGTGGGTTTTAGTTTGGTAGGTGAAAATACAAATGTCTGCTCCTTACCTGCTTCTCCTACTGTGTTTTTCCTTCCTGGAATGATGTAATTTCTCTTCAGTATCTCTTTAATATATAATTTGAACAGGGTATCTCACCCTGTTTTTCTGTTCAGAAAAAACAGCAAATTAAAGAAAGCCCACAAGTAATTTGTCAATTGTGATAAGTGTTATACAAATCAATTATGGATTCATTACTATACCTGAATATATCTTGTTTTTAAATTTGAATAATCAAGTAGTACCTTTTGGAATGTTTTTTCTTGTCACAGAGATTAATTATGGATTAGTCCAGTCTTAATAAGTGGCAACGGTTACAAATCGACTTATGGTGAACAAGCAGTGAGCCCATCACCAGTGTTACTTCAGGGAGCTGTTGCTATTGACTACCGTATGTTTATAAATGTCGGTTGCCAGGAGAGCTTGTGGACTATGATTTGCCTTGACCTTGAACATAAGTAGGCCAAAATTTCTAGGTACGTTGATTTTTTGTATGCTCTATATCGTTACCTGCTTTTAAGCTTCTCTAAACGATATGGAGATTATTTGTCATTTTCTATTACATTCCACATGCCCATATCATCAACTTCATGTGCCCCTCATGTCATGCTCCTGGATAGGATGTAGCTCAAGATCATATGGCGCTCATTTGTTCGCCTTCAGCAGTTCATCCATTCCTACGGTGATGACGGCCTTTGCTTGTGACCGACGAAGAGAGTTCCATTTTACTCCATGCATGCGTCCATATATCAGCGAACCCCGTAGTAAAACTTTGAAATATCGCGGGCCCTTGAGATAATTGTGGAAACAGCCTAAGAGCTGCTGGGACATAAGAACCATCAGCCATGGAATTTATGATTTATCCGAATATTAATTGGATAGGCAAAACGAGACATTGACCTAGTTCGCAGTTGGATGAAATTTGCCTCGTGGACATATGCTGTGAAGTTTGGCTCTGGTTTTTCAAAGGTACGTGCATTTGCATATTAACGGCCCGTCATACCGTTATTTGTTGATAAATAATATAACTAGGAAAATAGCTACATCTGCATCAATATGATTTGATTCCTTACAGGATCTTGGAGTAGAACTATTATTCTGCATTAATGTGGATAGCCTGATTTCTTTAGGAATTCTTGAGCAACCCAGGTAAACTACAATTATAGTAATTATTTTCTGCTTAATCAGTCCGAATGCAATATCCAAATTAAGTACCTGCTATGCTGTCCTGTTTCATCTTGATCTCAGCTGTTTCATTTAGTTTTAGGGAAAATGAGTTTTACAAGGACAATTTTTAAATTTTTTACTTTTTGCTAATGATACATATTTATATGTTTCGGCTTTTGTTGTTTGTTGGTTGGCATGGAACTGGAGATTGGATAAATTATTATAACATCAATCCCAATGATTTTATTGCTTTTGAATAGAGGTAAATGTTGAGAACAAAAGGCACGGATGTTCCTTTAAAATATGAAACACAGACTGCATTATTTTTTCCCAACATAAACAAATTATTGCAGTTATCAGCTGAAACTCTTATAAGATTTCTGCATCTTTTCCCCCCTCATGTTTTGTTTCTTTTCTTTTTTTTCTTTTTTTTAATAGAAAGTGAGTCCAAAAAATGGACTCAATTAAATTGCCTCATAGATAATTTGATTACAGATACAATCTAGACTTCATGGAAGTTCTGAGAGAAAAGTACATTTGTATCTGAGAGCATTTTTCGTTTTTGTTGCTAGTCAGGCTTACGTTAGAGCAGCTAATCATTGACAGTGACAGGTGCCCGTTATATACTCCATGTCGATCACATTTTCTTTTCTTCATGCTATCCAACAATTATAGAGGCTCTTTCCTCATCTTGGAGAATTTAAAGCCTGTTTGTACATTGATTCCATAGACTTAAACTGCATGACCACATATGCGACCATATGTAGTGATTAATGCCAGTCAATTATGTTTCACTAGTTTTCAGGGCATGGCCTTCTCTAGCGTGCTCATAGTCACCTTAGCCAGGACTTGGCAACAGTTCATAAAGGCATGGCATTAGGTTAATGAATAATGATCGGTGCACAGACTTGGTCTATTGTTTTGTGGAACTTTCTTGACTTCCAATTTGTGCTCCATACTGTAGAGAAAAGGAAGTATGCAATCAACCAAAAACTTTTGTATTGAATGTAAACTCTGGCTATTATATAGCCTACAAACTTTAACAGAAAATGCTGAAATATTACTCACGTTCTTAGCCACAAACAGCTATGTGAGACTTATTCAAAAGCAACTAAAACCCTACTGAATAGGACTTCTAAAACAGATTAACAAACTAGCTAAAGAATAGGACAACTTTCAAGCCTTTTCATTCTCTCCCTTAAGCTAAACATGTAAACTAAACACAGTAAACATGTTTAGCTTACCTTACTGACTTCACACATTCCCACCATGCCTCTGAGTTTGACAAAAGCATCATACTTGAGGGGCTTGGTCATAATGTCCGCAATCTGATCAGTACTTCCACAATGTAGTAGAGCAATGGAACCTTCTTTAGCTAAATCTCTGAGAAAATGGTACCTCACTCGAATGTGTTTACTACGACCATGTAGAACTGGATTTCTTGACAGCTTAATAGTGGAGGTGTTGTCACACATGATGTTGGTGCATTCCTCCTCTTCATGTCTGAGCTGTTAGTTTTGGGGGTGGATTCAAACCTCCGACGGCGGAGAAGCTCCGACGAGCTCCGACGAAGCTCGAAGCCCAGGCGAGGTTGTCGACGACCAGATGCAGGTGAAGCTCTCGAGCAGGCGAGCTCGAGTTGGCGATCTCCAGGCGACTTCGAACAGGCAAGTTGAGGAGATCAGACGCAAACCTCGGGCGAACGCAACCCTCGAACTTGGCGTTTTTCTTCGACCTCGGCGTTTGCCCCCACCTTTGCGTCTGTGGGCCGCTGGCGACAGGCTGTCGCCAGCTCATCCACCTCACCTATAAAAAGGCCCCTAGAGTTTCGCTGCTGTGCTGCTGATTCTTCCCCCTCTCCTCCGATTTCTTCTTCTCTGGCCTGCCATAAAATCGCAGAGGCGATTTTTTCTCCAGCTCTCAACGGGAATTTTGAGGGGAGATTAAAAGAGAGATTAAGAAGAGAGAGAGGAATTAAAGTGGGGTTTACATTGTGGGGTATTTATTCTCAAGTGAGAATTGAAAGAGTTCATACCCTTTAATTATTAACACTGTAGCTACAGTGTTTATTTGAGAAATCTCAGTTTTGAGATCTGCTCCTAAATTATAATTTCTTGTTTGATTAATAAGAAATTATCTGTGTGGCTTCCAAGGACGTAGGCAGTTGCCGAACCTCGTAAATCTTGGTGTACTTTTTCTATTCTGCGTTTCCGTTGCATTAGGGGTTTCAGCGTTAAATTCCCAACAACTGGTATTAGAGCGTGAAACGATCTAGAGAAAGTCAGATTTAAGTGGGAGACATGGCCGCAGATGAGGCAAAAATGAGACTTGAGATATTTGTATCAACCACTATCGGGGAAGAAGCCAGATTCTATGAAGGAAGAAGAGTGGAACCTTCTAGATAGACAAGCCCTCAGAGTTATCAGATTGACGTTGACTCGCAATGTTGCGTTCAACATAGCGAAGGAGAAGACCACGGCAGGTCTTATGGCAGCACTCTCAAACATGTATGAGAAGCCATCAGCCGCGAACAAAGTTCATTTGATGCGGCGGTTATTCAATCTGAAAATGGCGGAAGGCGCGTCAGTAGCACAACACCTCAATGAACTCAACACGGTCACAACCCAATTGAGTTCAGTTGGAATCGAGTTTGATGAGGAAGTTCGGGCGTTGATACTGTTGTCTTCCCTACCAGAGAGTTGGAACGCTACAGTCACAGCTGTGAGTAGCTCGTCGGGAAAGAAAAAGTTGAAGTTCGGCGACGTTCGTGATTTGGTTCTCAGTGAGGAGATCCGACGGCGAGAGACTGGTGAAGCTACAACCTCTTCAGTATTGCATACAGAGTCAAGAGGTAGAAATTCAACCAGAGGAAACGGACGAGGAAAATCAAACTACAGAGGTAGATCAAAGGACAGGAGGTCCAAATCAAGGAATCCAAGCAACAGCTCGAAGGCTATCGAGTGTTGGAATTGTGGAAAGACCGGGCATTACAAGAATCAGTGCAAGAGTGCACAGAGAGAGAAGGAGGCGAAGGCAGAGGTGAATGTCACCTCCACCTCAGGAGGAGACGACGCATTGATATGCTCTTTGGAGAGCAAGGAGGAATCTTGGGTGTTAGATTCAGGAGCGTCGTTCCATGCTACCTCTCAGAAAGAATTCTTCGAGAAGTATACCCCCGGAAATCTTGGATACGTATATCTTGGTGATGATCAACCATGTGCTATTGTGGGCAAAGGCGTGGTGAAAATTAAGTTGAACGGGTCAGTATGGGAGCTGAAGGATGTCGGGCATATTCCCGACCTGAGAAAGAATTTAATATCCGTAGGCCGGTTGGCTGGCGAAGGATACACCACAACCTTCCATGGAGATGATTGGAAGATCTCAAAGGGCGCAATGACAATTGCCCGAGGCAAGAAGACTGGTACCCTGTATATGACAGCAGGTGCACGTTGTTTGATCTCAGTTGCAGCAGGCAATGAGACTTCAAAGCTGTGGCACCAGAGACTCGGTCATATGAGTGAAAAGGGGATGAAAATCATGCACACAAAGGGGAAACTCCCAGGACTGCAGTCAGTGGAGATGGATATGTGTGAAGAATGTATACTTGGAAAGCAGAAGAGAGTCAGCTTTCAGACAAGTGGCAGAACCCCCAGGAAGCAGAAGCTAGAGCTCGTTCACTCAGATGTTTGGGGACCAACCACCACTGCGTCGATTGGTGGGAAACACTACTTCGTGACTTTTATCGATGATCACACTCGGAAAGTATGGGTCTACTTTCTGAAACATAAGTCAGAAGTGTTTGAGGCTTTCAGAAGATGGAAAGCCATGGTCGAGAATGAGACCGGTCTGAGAATAAAGAAGCTCAGGACCGACAATGGCGGTGAGTATGAAGACACCGGATTCAAGAAGTTCTGCTATGAGCACGGGATCAGAATGGAGAGAACCGTGCCCGGCACGCCTCAGCAAAATGGAGTAGCTGAGCGAATGAACCGAACGTTGACGGAGAGAGCCAGAAGCATTCGAGTACAGTCAGGCCTACCGAAGCAGTTCTGGGCAGAAGCGGTCAACACAGCAGCTTACTTGATCAACCGAGGTCCATCGGTTCCATTGGAGCACAGAATACCAGAGGAGGTATGGTGCGGAAAGGAGGTAAAACTCTCACATCTTAAAGTTTTCGGTTGTGTAGCTTACGTGCATATTAGTGATCAAGGCAGGAATAAGCTTGATCCCAAGTCAAAGAAATGCACTTTCATCGGCTATGGTGAAGATGAGTTCGGCTACCGCATTTGGGACAACGAAAACAAGAAAGTGATCAGGAGCAGAGATGTGATATTCAACTGGGTGTACCGGGTGAAAGAGGAGCAAGATGGTTCCAGAAGATATAAGGCCCGGCTAGTTGTCAAAGGTTTCCAGCAGAAGGAAGGAATTGACTACACCGATATTTTCGCTCCCGTGGTGAAGCTAAATACTATCAGGACCGTGATGAGTATTGTAGCAATTGAAGATCTTCATCTAGAGCAGTTAGACGTGAAGATGATGTTTCTTCACGGAGATCTAGAAGAGGAGATATACATGCACCAGCCAGAAGGTTTCTCAGAAGAAAAAAAGAAGAACCTGGTGTGCAGACTCAAGAAGAGCTTGTATGGCTTGAAACAAGCCCCAAGACAGTGGTACAAGAAGTTTGATGGCTTCATGCACAAGAAAGGTTTTCAGAAGTGCAACGCCGACCACTGTTGCTACTTCAAAAGATATCAGTCCAGCTATATCATCCTACTGCTGTATGTTGATGATATGTTGGTTGCAGGAGCAGATATGGAGGATATCAGAAGTTTGAAGCAGCAGCTGTCAAAGGAGTTTGACATGAAGGATTTGGGTCCAACGAAGAAGATCCTTGGAATGCAAATCACGAGAGATAAGAAGAGAGGTCTCTTGCAGTTATCTCAGACGGAGTACATCAACCGTGTTTTGCAGAGATTCAACATGGACAACGCCAAGCCTGTGAGCACACCCTTAGCCAGCCACTTTCGTTTATCGAAGGATCAGTCTCCTCAGTCAGAAGAAGAGAAAGAGAGTATGGCTCAGGTACCTTACGCCTCAGCTATCGGAAGCTTGATGTACGCTATGGTCTGTACGAGACCAGATATTGGCCATGCAGTGGGAGTGGTCAGCCGGTTTATGTCGAATCCAGGAAAAGCTCATTGGGAAGCGGTCAAGTGGATTCTGAGATATCTACGAGGCACCACACAGAAGTGTTTGCACTTTAGTAAGGGAGAGGTAGAAGTGCAAGGGTACGTAGATGCAGACTTCGGCGACGAAGTTGATCACCGAATAAGCACAACCGGCTATGTATTCACCGTTGGAACTACAGCTGTTAGTTGGATGTCACAGGTACAGAAGATTGTTACCCTATCCACTACAGAAGCTGAGTATGTTGCAGTGACTGAAGCCAGTAAAGAGATGATATGGCTTCAGGGTTTGTTAACAGAGCTGGGATTCAAACAGGAGAAGAATGTTTTGCACAGTGATAGTCAGAGTGCGATACACTTGGCGAAGAATTCAGCATTTCATTCCAGAACGAAGCATATTGCGCTTCGGTACCACTTCATCAGATCCCTGTTGGAAGATGACGTGTTGAAACTGGAAAAGATTCCAGGAAGTAAGAATCCAGCAGATATGTTAACAAAGACGGTGACAGTACAGAAAGTGGAGTTGTGCGCAACTTCAGTTGGCCTTCATGCATAGATGATGAGGGCGGAGCCACACAGGAGAGGAACTTGATGAGATAGCCCGTCGACGTCGGTTTGGTCTCCAAGTGGGAGATTGTTAGTTTTGGGGGTGGATTCAAACCTCCGACGGCGGAGAAGCTCCGACGAGCTCCGACGAATCTCGAAGCCCAGGCGAGGTTGTCGACGACCAGATGCAGGCGAAGCTCTCGAGCAGGCGAGCTCGAGTTGGTGATCTCCAGGCGACTTCGAACAGGCAAGTTGAGGAGATCAGACGCAAACCTCGGGCGAACGCAACCCTCGAACTTGGCGTTTTTCTTCGACCTCGGTGTTTGCCCCCACCTTTGCGTCCGTGGGCCGCTGGCGATAGGCTGTCGCCAGCTCATCCACCTCACCTATAAAAAGGCCCCTAGGGTTTCGCTGCTGTGCTGCTGATTCTTCCCCCTCTCCTCCGATTTCTTCTTCTCTGGCGGCGGCTGCCATAAAATCGCAGAGGCGATTTTTTCTCCAGCTCTCAACGAGAATTTTGAGGGGAGATTAAAAGAGAGATTAAGAAGAGAGAGGAATTAAAGTGGGGTTTACATTGTGGGGTATTTATTCTCAAGTGAGAATTGAAATGGTTCATACCCTTTGATTATTAACACTGTAGCTACAGTGTTTATTTGAGAAATCTCAGTTTTGAGATCTGCTCCTAAATTATAATTTCTTGTTTGATTAATAAGAAATTATCTGTGTGGCTCCCGAAGACGTAGGCAGTTGCCGAACCTCGTAAATCTTGGTGTACTTTTTCTATTCTGCGTTTCCGTTGCATTAGGGGTTTCAGCGTTAAATTCCCAACACGAGCTGCTCCAAGATCCTCTTTAGCCATATAGCTTGACAAGCACTGGTTGCAGCTGCTACAAACTCTGCCTCTGTAGTTGACAATGTTACAATTGGTTGCTTTTTCGATCGAGCTCCATGAGATGGCTGCTGAGCTTAGCATGAAGACATAGCCACTGGTACTCTTTCTATCTTCAATGTCCCCCGCATAGTCATTGTCAGTGAATGCAAGTAGCTTGTTGTTTGTACCATGCTTGTAGTAAATACCGTAATCCACAATGCCCTTCAAGTACCTTAATGCTCTTTTAGCTGCTTGCATATGCAGCTCTGTTGGACTAGCCATGTATCTGCTCAGGAGGCTTGTAATGAACATTAAATCTGGCTTGGTAGAAGTCAAATAGAATAGACTCCCTACAAGTTGCTTGAAAAGGGTTCCATCCACTGCAATCCCATTCTTGTCTTTCTCCATCTTCGAACCAGGAACAATAGGAGTGCCAACCATTTTGCTTTCTTGCATTCCAAACTTCTTTAACACCTCAAGAGCATATCTCTTCTGATAGATGAAAATTCCTCCCTCCTTTTGTAACACTTCAATTCCGAGGAAGTAACTCATGCTTCCCATATCAGTCATATCAAATTCTTTCATCATAGATCTTTTGAAATCAAACAACAAGTGCACACAATCACCAGTAAATATCAAGTCATCTACATAGATACTTACAATGATTATGTGGCCTTCACTGCTTCTCTTAGTGAACAAGGTTTGCTCACTTGCACATCTCTGAAAACCTTCCTTCATGAAATAAGTCTCAATGTGGTTGAACCAAGCACGAGGGGCTTGTTTCAAGTCGTACAAGGCTTTGCGTAGTTGATACACCATGCTTTCTTTCCCCTTCTGTTCATAGCCTTTTGGTTGTTCCACATACACCTTCTAATTCAAATCTCCATGTAGAAACGCAGACTTGACATCAAGTTGTAAAATTTTCCATTTCTTGTGTGCTGACAAAGCAATGATAGTTCTCACAGTGTCTAGTCTTGCCACTGGTGCATATACCTCTTTGCCACAAGCCTAGCTTTGTACTTGATCACTTCCCTATGTTCATCTCGCTTTGTTTTGTAGATCCATTTAACGCCCACTTTCCTTGCTCCACTAGGTAAGTCACAAAGAACCCAAGTCTTGTTCTTTTCGATGGCTTGAATTTCGATGTCCATGGTCTGCCTCCATTTTTCTTCTTTGACAGCTTCTTCGAATAAAACAGGGTCTTCGAAATCACCAACCACCATGTATGCTTGTTCCTCTGCTTCTTCTTCTTCACTTAGACCTTCACCCCTCACATAGTCTCCCATCCCTGTTGGCATTCTTCTTTCTCTCCTACCAACGACATCACTAGTCCCTTCTCCATTCCTATCTTCACTATTCCCCCTTCCTAAGTTATTCTCACCATTTTCTCCTTCACTATTGAGTTCCATATTAACATCTAAACCACCATTGGCCTCACTTCTATGCTCTCCCTCACTCTCATCACCACTAAAAACATCATCATCCCAAAACAGCTCTGCTTCTATTTGTTCCTTATAATTTGTACCCCAATCCCAACTCTTTTCTTCCTCAAACACTACATCCCTCTGCTTCTATTTGTTCCTTATAATTTGTACCCCAATCCCAACTCTTTTCTTCCTCAAACACTACATCCTTACTAACCACAATCCTCTTAGTCTTAGGTACCCCAATCCCAACTCTTTTCTTCCTCAAACACTACATCCTTACTAACCACAATCCTCTTAGTCTTAGGATCAAACAAACGATAACTCTTTGACTCATCACTCACACCTAACAAAATACAAGGAAAGCTCTTATCATCAAGTTTACCTCGTTTTGCCTCTGGAATGTGTACATGTGCCAAGCAACCCCAAACTCGAAGATGTTCTACTGAAGGTTTGATTCCGCTCCAAGCTTCTTGTGGAGTAATGTTCTTCACTGCTAGTGTTGGACATCTATTCAACAAGTAGAAGGTCCAGTTTATAGCCTCCGCCCAGAAAGGTTTGAGAACCCTTTTAGCAGTGAGCATGCAGCGCACCATGTTCATGACGGTTCTGTTTTTGCGTTCTGCCACTCGGTTTTGATGGGGTGTGTATGCTGTGGTCAATTGCCTCTTTATGCCTTCTTCTTCACAGAACGTCTTGAAATTGAGAGAGTTAAACTCTCCTCCTCTATCCGTCCGTAAACATTTAATGGACACCTCTGCTTCCTTTTCCACCAGTTTCTTATATGATTTGAAACATTCCAAAGCTTCTGATTTTTCAAAGAGCAGATAAACCCAACCCTTACGACTATAATCATCAATGAAGCATAAAAGATACCTCTTTCCACTATTTGAGATTGGTTCAATTGGTCCACAGATATCAACGTGTATAAGCTCCAGGACCTTGCTAGCACGCCATTCACTCTTCTTAGGGATTGAATTGCGGTGTTGATTGCCAGTAAAGTAATCAGCACAAGTGACACTTGAAGCTTCTAGCTGAGGTAGACCACGCACCATTTTCTTAGTTTGTAGTGTCTTCAAGCCCTTGTAGCTTAAGTGACCATACCTTTGATGCCAAAGGTAAGTGAGATCAGAGGAAGTGTGTAGACATTCTTCAACAATAGAAGTTGTGTTGGAGCTCTCATTCAACAGAATAAACATCCGATTGGCACTCATGTTTGTGTGCGCTATCAACCCTTTGTACGGATGATATATATTGCATACCCCATTTTTTATAAGAATGGTAAGTCCCCTTTCCTGCAACTGCCCTACACTTAACAGATTGTTTTGAAGCTCTGGGACATAGTATACATCCCGAACATGAAAAGTAGTTCCATTAAACACCAATCTAACACTACCTTTTCCGGCAACTATCATTCGAGAGTTATTTCCACACTTAACAGAGTGATTGTGTCCTTCTACCATGTTTGAAAACATACCTTTGTCTCTGCACATATGATTAGAGCACCCTGAATCCAGGAACCATGCATCCTTTCTTTTTGCTTCATTCTCTTCTACATAAGCCATCAACAGAAGCTCTTCTTCTTCATTCAATTCAGCATAGTTTGCTTCCTTGTTCCATTTGGGACATTCATATTGAAAATGCCCCAAATTGTGGCACTTAAAACATTCTACTGTAGCCCTTGTGAAAGACTGCCTCCCTCTTCCACGTCCTCTACCTCGATATGCTCCTCTTCCTCTTCCTCTGCTGCTTTCTACCTTGAGTGCTTGCTCTTCCACGTCCTCTACCTCGATATGCTCCTCTTCCTCTTCCTCTGCTGCTTTCTACCTTGAGTGCTTGCTCACCATCTCGGCTGACTCTCTTGAACTTCTCTTCCTCTTCCTCTGCTGCTTTCTACCTTGAGTGCTTGCTCACCATCTCGGCTGACTCTCTTGAACTTCTATTCATGGACCACTAGAGAGCTTTGAAGCTCATCAATGGACATTGCTCATGTGTCCTTTTATTCCTCAATTGAAACAACAACATAGGTGAACCTCTCTGTTAATGTTCGAAGGATTTTCTCCACCACCTTCGAGTCTGGCATATCCTCTCCATATTGCTCCTCATTTTGTTGGCCACTGCCATGACTCTGGCAAAGTATTCAGTAATGGTCTCTGACTCTTTCATCTCAAGCACCTCGAAATCCCTTCTTAGTGAATTGAGAAGCGACTTCTTCACACGGTCATTGCCTCCAAATTTCCTTTTCAAGGAATCCCAAACAATCTTGGGCGTGCGCCTGTCCAAGACTTGTTCAAAGATTGATCTATCAATGGCCCTGAAAAGATAATGCTTGACCTTGTGATCCTTTGTTCTGGCGTTCTCCAACTGCTCTAGCTGCGTGTCAGTCAACATAGGAAACCATTCTCGACTAAACTCCATAGCCCTTTTGCACGAAGAAGATTCTCCATCAACTCACTCCAATGATCATAATGAAGACCATCAAAGTGAGGGATTTTTGCTGAAATCTTTTCGTCACTCATCTTCCTGTTTCTCTCTTCTTTTCTTTGCTAAGCTGCTGCTTATTTGTGTATATCAGGCCCAGTGTGGCTCTGATACCAATTTGTAGAGAAAAGGAAGTATGCAATCAACCAAAAACTTTTGTATTGAATGTAAACTCTGGCTATTATATAGCCTACAAACTTTAACAGAAAATGCTGAAATATTGCTCACGCTCTTAGCCACAAACAGCTATGTGAGACTTATTCAAAAGCAACTAAAACCCTACCGAATAGGACTTCTAAAACAGATTAACAAACTTTAACAGAAAATGCTAAAATATTGCTCACGTTCTTAGCCACAAACAGCTATGTGAGACTTATTCAAAAGCAACTAAAACCCTACTGAATAGGACTCACGTTCTTAGCCACAAACAGCTATGTGAGACTTATTCAAAAGCAACTAAAACCCTACTGAATAGGACTTCTAAAACAGATTAACAAACTAGCTAAAGAATAGGACAACTTTCAAGCCTTTTCACATACTTGATCCATTTCGTAGTAAAATTTGTTAGATTAACGACAAGAATTTATAAAAAGCAGCCTTTCATATACATAACTTTATTAATTATCTCACAAGAGCTTGTGTAACTTCCCTCCAACTTGATGATCCTATTAATATCTTCGCAACGAATTCCAGACTGCATTTCCTCTCTCATCACGGGGGAACAAGTGCTCAGTAAGCAGCATATAATTTGGAAGTAATTTTGCATCCTATGCTGCTCACAGTTTGCCACTTTTCTGCAACCTCCACTTGCGTCTCACGTATCTAAGCAAATTTTTAGTCGTTCTTATTTGATTTTTGTCTGTATACAATTTAGATTACAGTTCTTGCATCAAATTCCTTTCATTATTCAGAACTTGGATAGTGTGCACTGTACAGGGTTCTCATCGAAGCCGTCCATCCTTTCTGAAATCAAAGCCTCTTACGAGGTGGGGGTAGTTTATCACACTCTTAACTTGAAGGTGAGAGATATTGCAAAATTTTCAATAATTAATTTACGTACCGCTTCCTCAATTGTTCTTTGGTTAGTTAACTTAAAGGTTCACTTTCATGCCCGTCTAGTGAGAAAAAGCAAGGGAAAGCAAACAGCTACTGTCATTTGGAACTTTTACGAACTGGTTAAGTTTTTATCTGCTTGAAGGACAGCTCACAAGAACAGTCTCCAATTGTAGAGCTACATCAAAGATCAGGAGCTTCCTTAACTTATTCTTAAGCCCATATTTTCATCATATTAGACCTACAAATTACAATAAATCTAGCACTCATTGTACCTTCCATGACTCATTCTTGATTTGCACTCAAAGACAAATTGTAACCATCAACTAAATAAATCAATGACTATTATTAATGTCATGGTGTTTGCGCTACTTTTTTGATTGCGGAGAGGATCAAAATCCTTCGAATCTTCATATTTCTAAATTAGACTTCCCAAAATTTCATATTTGTTTGAAATGAGATCTTGTTTAAAACAAGTTAGTAGATTTTGGGTTCTTATTTAAAGCAACTTAAACAGATTTCGGGGATTTATTAAACCAACTTAATGAAATGAAATTGGGTTCTAATTTAGAAGGATGAAGCTTGATCTGGGCTAATATGAGAAAAAACCCAACATATAATAAAGAATTCCCGAATTATCACCAACATCAGATGCAAAATTACAATTCGCTAGTTTTTTTTTAATAGAGTCGATTGTAGATACACTCTTTATTACAGAGGGTTAGAGCATCTCCAACCCAAAAACCCAAAATGGTGTAGTTTTTACACTAAGTTGGTGTAGTTTTTACACCAAATCACTATTCCATCTCCAACCATTACACCAAATTTTACACCAAAAAGAATATTCATTTTATTTACAAA